TATGCTGGGCTTGGTCCTGAACCTGCAGAAACAGTGCAAGGATGAATGCCCTCTTCCCTGTCAGGGGTGTTGATGTTTCTCTAAGGCCCCCCTAAGCCTGTGTTATTTATTTACCTATCCATTTGTTGAGACAGGGTCTCACTCTGTCACCCAGGCTGGAGTGCAGTCATGTGATCACGGCTCACTGCAGCCTTGAATTCCTGGGGTCAAGCCATCCTCCTGCCTCAGCCTCCCCAGAAGCTGGAGCTACAGACACCTGGCTAATGTTTCTTACTTTTTGTAGAGACAGTGTCTTGCTATGTTGACCAGGCTGGTCTCAGACTCCTGGCCTCGGCGATCCTCCCACCTCACCTCCCAAAGTGCTGGGATTACAGGTGTGAGCCACCGCGCCTGGACTGGCGCTGTGTCTTCTAACCTCACCCTTCCCTCCCTTCTCTTTCAGCAACATTCGCATATCGAGAAGCTAAAGCTAACGCTCTGTGGAGGATATGGATCGCACCCCGACCCAGACACCTGAAACTTTGACAGCTCCCTGGGGAACATCTCTGCATGTGAGAGAGATTTGGAAAGGCACAAAACTGGAATGCAAGTTGACTTGTTGAACAGAGCCACATCTTGGCAGGTTGAAGAGCTGTTTCACCGCCAGCCCTGGAGAAGCCCGAGCGAGGAACACCTACGAGCACTGGCCACTGCGGGTTGAGCCTCCCTCGTCACTCACTGCATAAAAGAGTCTCCCTCTGAAACAGGGAGTCGAGAGACTTGATCATGTGCTGCTTGCAGAGATATTTTACTACAATCGTTTTTATAAAAATCTTTGAAGGGAGAACTAGAGCTGGCCCAGGAGCAAGCTGAGAGCAAAGGTTTTCCGCAATCATTCTTATCTTTTGACAAGAGGTCTTATTTTAGTTTTCATGAGATTTACTACACTAGAATTTTCTTAGCTTTGTAACCTCTATCCTGACTGCAGGACGGATGTCTGAGCAGCCGTGGCTCCCAGGGGCTGAAGGGAGAAGGACGGCTGCGGGAAAGGTGGCGCCCCTGCTGGTGACCCTGCCCCAGCCCCACGGGGTCAGCCGTGTGGGCTGTGCTCAGAGTCGGAAATGGATATTCAGCCCTGCAAGAAGGGTGGGTGGAGAAGACAGCCAGTGGCTACAAAATACGAACAAACACGCTCCCGTCGCCCAGCTTGGCAGAGCAAAGGGGCAAACTGTGGGCTTTGGCACAACACTGGAAAGACTGTCAAATTCAAGCTTTTTTTTTTATAAACTCAGTTTTGTCGATTTGTTCTTTTAAGGCAGTGCACGCATGCTGGAGAGCCGGAAACCAGGGCCTCCGAGCTTCGGACGTCACCTGGCTGTGTTCTATGGAGTGTCACTTGTCAGGCTGCAAACCTGGAGACCCCACCCAGCCTCGGTTGTCAGTGGCAGTGCGAAAACGAATTTTTGGAGCGTTTTCAGATGAGCAGGTAACAGGTGTTGTGAACATGCCAACAGGCTTTCTCCATTTGCCTGTTTTAGTTTCTTAGAAGAGTCCATTAAAAATGAATGGCCTTATGTCTTTATGTGCATTTATACACTCTCTGGCCTATATTTTAACTATTGTTTTTTAAAATAAGTGATCATGCCTCATCAAATGATAATGAGGCAAAGAACCTGATGCAGCTTATATAAGAAATATAAATTAAGGTCCTAAATCACTTCGCTAATACTTGGGCTGGAAAGTTGAAACTATGCGTGCTTATTGGTAACTGTGATTCTAATTTTCTTCAAAAATGAGTTATCTGGCATCAGGCAAATCTCACTCAATTCTACAGATTCATGTCAAGCGAGATGCTTGTCTTCTTTTGCGCTCACAAAATTGCAGCCTTGGACAAATAATCCTGACAACACCAACCGCGACCCATTCAATGACTCTTGGCAGAAAGGAAAAATGCCTTCCTGGAACACGATAAAATACCAAAAAAAATATGTATTTTACTAATTTTCATGGAAAATTTAACCATTTGATGAAATACCTTTGTACTTTACCTAGCTGATTTTCACTTGTACTTAACTATTTGTGTTAACTATGATACATGAACATGAGGCGAAAATACACAACATTCTCCCTGAACCAAACCTAGGAGAGATTAAATTTTGCCTCAAGTGAAATAGCTAAATTCATGAATTTTAATTACTTTTGTCCCCATGGGCTCCCCCTGTTCATTTCTGCTATTTTCCCCTTAGGTTGTGATGATTAATTTGCAAGTTTAGTCCCACACTATCCATGAAACTAAACAAAATGTGTAATAGGCAAGATGATTAAGTGCCACCTTTTGACTAAACAGGCTAAGAAGTGTTTTTCTTAGTGCTGGCCTGTGTGAGCACGTTGGAGAGGGGATGGTGGTCCTGGATCACCACGGCCCCCTCTGGGCTCTGCAGGGCCTTGGCAGCCACCCACTGTCCGTTATCACTGGACCCGTCCATGCTCCTCCTAGGAATGGGCCACTAGGCATCTTGTGGGGCAGTTCCCATCCCCTCCTTTCCATTCTCAGGTTGTTCTGAAACCACACTTTCTTGACTGACAATAAGAGCAGCCCATGAATTCCTTTGTATAGGGCAGCAATAACGTACCAGGACGCACAGCTTTTCTTGAATGAATCCTGAGGCCTTGGAAGCCACCCCTTTGCCCACTATGTTTTCTCTATATTGTTTTCTCGAAGAGCTCTTTTGGGCACTGAGATTCTAAACATAAACCTTGACACTCACGCAGTGGAAGCAACATCCTTACCAGAAGCCTCCTTAATGTTGGCTTAGACAGGAAATGGAAATGGCTGGTGTTATCCATCCTTTAAAGCATTTCTAGTGCTCAGCCGCCATGAAATGGATTGCTTATGGGGAGATAATGTCTGTTCTATTCCTTTTTAAGTCTGTGAAAAATGTCATCCTGGTTAATAGGGTGATTAAAACTCTTTATGCTCCAGGAGATAAATGTGATTATGTTTGTCATACTCTACCCAAGATAAAGACAGCAAAGAAGGCAAACTTGAAATTCCATAACGTTTCCTCTCTTCCATATCCAGGGACATTCAGAACTCAATACACAGATGGTACTTCACATAAAGAATAACATTATCTGTTAAACATTTTTCCTTTCCATTAACCAATTTAACAATATGCCTCTGGTATAAAAGGAATAGACAAATGACTAAATCTTCTGATATCTGAATTCTGACTGTGGAAAACACCATTGAGTCATACTGCTTGTTTTCTTTTACAATTCTCATTGTTGTTACTTCATTTTTGCTTTTAGAATGCAGTCGGAGCCTATGCTAAGTGCCTAGGCCGGAGATTCTGTCCCTGTCAACCTCCCCTCAGCAAGGGATTCATTCTTAGGAAGTCCCCCTGCCATCAGTCAAGGACAACAGAAGTTGCTGAAGTTTGTAGAAGTTGCATGACACCCAATTAAGTATTCGGACACTCAGTCCTTCAGCATCGCTCACTCAGGCCTCCCCCATGCAAGCCCTGTGGGAACACAGTGCACCCACCACGGCCCCTGGCTCCCTCCCAGGGCCTGGCTGCCATCAGCCCGGTGCCCGGTAGGCCTGCGGCAGGGGCTGACGCCCATTTACAAGGCCCTGAGAGGAAGCCGCTACCATCAAGGAGCTTACAAGACAGGAACCTATTAAACAGAATCACAGTTAGTAACGATTTCTCCTTTTATCACTTCAGACAAGCTAGAAATTCTCATCGTCTCCTACCCAGTGGAGGTCTTTTAAAAAGCATCAGGAATTCTCCACCTAAGAAAAATAAAAATCCAGATTCTAGCTGTAAACAATTTTAGGTGGGGCCCATTTTTGTCCATGTCAGATGAGTAATTTGCAGATGTTGTAACAGGGCTTGAGGCACATCTTACATGAGTGTGGGAACACAATCGTCAAGCTTATGAAGTGCAAAAGGGTCAGGTGGTGCCCATTCCACTAAGGGGAACCTAGACTCAGATTAATAATGTGGACAAAAAACAGTTCAGTTTGGCTCCTGCCTTTCCTTCATTTTTTTCAAAATTTTTTCTTTTGAAACAGGGTCTTGCTCTGTCACCCAGGCTAGAGTGCAGTGGTGTCATCGTAGCTCACTGCACCTTCAAAGTCCTGGGCTCAAGTGATCCTCCTGCCTCAGCCTCCCGAGTAGCCGGGACTACAGGTACGTGCCACCATGCCTGGCTAATTTTTCTATTTTTGTAGAGACAGGGCCTCACTGTTGCCCAACCTCCTGGCCTCAAGTGATCCTCCTGCCTTGGTCTCCCACAGTGCTAGGGTTACAGGCATGAGCCACTGTACTTGGCCATCAAAATCTTTTCTTAGAGGAGATTTAGTTAGAAATGAAAGACTGGTGAGAGGATTTTTTCTACTCCACATATGCTGATAAGGTTCACAATCCTTTTTATTCTTGGATTTTTAACAGGTTACACATGAATCCCAGATACCTATTACACCTGTTTAATTAACAATATGGCAATTTTAACAGGGTAACGTGGTCTAACGAAAAATGTTACATTATGTACTTGACATTTCATTTAAAAATTTCCCTTAGAATAAAAGGTTTAATTATAACAGAGAAATTTCAAATGTACTTTATTAAACTTGATTGCTGACTAATTAGAGCTTTTATAAGGAAATTGGATGACTGATATTCAACTAGAGGTTATTTTTCTGGATATATTGACACATTAAAGTATTTCTCTTCTTTAAAAAATTTTAATCTCCAGTAAAAATAACTGCATGTAGACATTATTCCCCATATGTTTTTTGTAAGATCACGGAGGACAGGAGAGTTGGGTGTGTATGTAAGAATTTATTTATCATATCAGCTTCATTAGAGGGCTGGGGCCAAGTACGACTGAGACTCAGTATTCAGGTGAATACAGGTGAACTGGGCTGCTTTTACTTTGATGACTGAGACAGAACTGCAAGTTGCAGTCAGTGCTCAGGGATCCAGACCAACTGCTCAAAAAAAGTATATTTTATACCTTTGATAGCATCCTTATTATTATTTTAGTCCAACTATCCATTTTTAAATCATCATAATCCATTACTAGCTTTTTGTCCTAAGAATTTATAGGGCCTCCAAGTGAGGCCATCAGGTAGAAAACTAGCACGTGTGCACTAGCTGGACCCCAAGACTGCACCCAGGAAGGCAGCTACATCCACTGCGTGCCCTGTGGGACTTAACCGTTAACTCACTTTGGAGTCTGGCTACCAGGGACAGGTCTTCCAAATTCTGGTGGTCATACACTGACAGGAAAGGCTCCTGAAACTCATTTAATTAGACTCACTGCTGTTAGGGAGTCTGTTTATAAAGATTTTCTATCATACTTTCATTATAAACTTTTTTTTAAGGTACAAAACTCAGGTTTCAACTGAAATTTGGCTCAACTGCAATGAACAGAAGTATTTCCTCTGGGATCTTTGCCACATAAGGAAGTTATCCCCATAATTACTATTTTTAAATGGTCTCCTAAACGCTGGGGAAACTTTACCCTCACCCGACACACGCACACACTCCTCTGATGAGGAGGTCGAACACTGTCATCCCACGGGTTCAGTCAGGAATCTGCCCAAGTTCCTGAGGAGAAATAGCCCCAGTCCCTTTGCTGCCAGGGGCTCTAGCACCCCCTTTTGTAACAATTGTTCTGGAATTCATCCACGCTCATCTCATTTGGATTTCAATGCTTCTTCCCACTCAACAGCTGATTCGGAGTTCTTGGGAATCGTTGGAAATATTGATTGCATTTTACTTCGAAAGTCTTTCATCTAGAGGAAGAAAAAAATAAGTTACCAAATGTTAAAAGAAGGAGAAAACAGCCAAAGCTATTAGAGATGGCACCTTTCCTGACTGGATAATACTCCATCGCTCACAAGTACAGAGCAAAGGAATAACAATAAAAGATAAGGACTACATGCTATTAAATAGTTACCTTGAAGGAAAATGAACTACACCTGTTTTCTTCATCTAAGTATAAACCTATTATCTGAATTAACACAAAACTTGACTCTTAATCTGGAAGGCAACATGCCCTAAATGGTCAGCCCTCCATATTTATTCCCTAGCAGAGGAAGAGAATGCATCCTTGGCTTTTATATATATAGATGCATGTGAGGATGGGATTTCTGCCTATGAACACACTTAGGTCATTCAGAGTTAAAATTTTAGAGCCAGAGAGAAAAGGTAGAGAGAAGATACTTAGTAGGAGTTTGATAAAGAATGAATCAACGAATGGCAGATAAACTAGAATGTTCTTATGTACCAGACAATGTTAAAAAAAAACAACAAAAATCTATGTAGGGATTTTACCAGCAGAAGTTGACTTGGAATCCAAGAGTCAGAGCAGGTGGATGGGAGATCCTAACATGCAGTGTCAACACAGTATCACCTTCACCTGCATCTCCTGGCTCCACCTACGTTGTGCACCCCAGAAGGGAGGGGAATGCTGATTTAAGGGAGTGGACAATCTTTACATTAGACAGTGCTAGTAACAACAATACTGGATCCATCGTTTTTAATCCATATGGTCCTGCTCTGAAGATACTATTTCGTGGCACTTACAGCACCGCATTACAGCGTTGTCCCGTCATCCGTGTGCCAGCCACACTTTTCTGAGGATGGAGATCTCCTTGGTCAGGTTCATGAAGCACCCTGGACTCATCAGCAACATGCAAGTCATTTCTTAGAGTGGTTATTTTGAGAGTCAGCTATTTTTTTTTTTTTTATGTTGGTGTGTATTTATTTAAATTTGAGGCTGAATCTTTACCTAGTTTCCAAATTTATTGATTGATTGAGACAGAGTCTCACTTTGTTGCCCAGGCTAGAGTGAGTGCCATGGCATCAGCCTAGCTCACAGCAACCTCAAAGTCCTGGGCTCAAGCAATCCTGCCTCAGCCTCCCAAGTAGCTGGGACTACAGGCATGCACCATGCCTGGCGAATTTTTTCTATATATATTAGTTGGCCAATTAATTTCTTTCTATTTAGAGTAGAGACGGGGTCTCGCTCTTGCTCAGGCTGGTTTCGAACTCCTGACCTCAAGCAATCCACCCGCCTTGGCCTCCCAGAGTGCTAGGATTACAGGTGTGAGCCACTGCACCTGGCCTAGTTTCCAAATTTAGGGGGTGCATCTTGTTTGGGACTTGTAAATCCTAGGCATTTACTCCAGCGATTGTAGCACAGGCTCTAGTATAAGACAGACCAAATCCCAGCTCCACCACTTGGGAAAGCTGCGCGCTCTCTAAGCCGCAGTTCCCACGTGTGTGGAACAGAGAAAGTAACTACTGCTCACAGAGCTGTGAGGACTGAAAGAGAACACACCCAGCGCTAGCAAGTGCTCCCATGTATTAGCTGTTATCATTACAGCATTGTAAAAATGCGTACATGGCGTTCCAAGAACAAAACTCACATGGATATAAATATTATGATGTAATTGTCAAAAGCATTACTTTGTAGTTATATATCATTTTGGTTTAAATATTCTGCCCCTGGAAGATACGTAAGGTTATCCGTTACACGCTGTCTGTCGGAGGTCTGTGCCAACCACCCCGTGTCCTGGACCCAGACGCCAATCTTGAAGACACACACATCCACAGGTGTTTCTCTCCCTGTACCCCCTTCCTCATGGCCCTCTAGTTTGCACTGTGACTAGTCCTACAAGAGAGGTTCCCAACTAGAGGCAGTGCTGCATCCCTGGGAGGCAATTGGAATTGTGGGGCGGTGTTTTTGGTTGTCACAATCAGGGGAAACCACTACTGGCATCTGGCCTGGGGGTGGGAGGTGCTTCAGGGCACAGATTCTAAGTGTCTGGGATGGTCCACAAAAAGACCTGCTTTGTTCAAAACACCAGTGGCGCTCCCACTGAGGAACTCTGCACAAACCAGACACCTCTCTGGCCAGGGTTTGCAATGTGCCGCCTGGTTCTTTCCCTTCACCTTTCCCGAACATCTGTTACAACCAAGCCGGATGACAGTTTGCAAATAGAGTGTCAGATAGCCAAGACATGAACAGAATCACTTACATTCTCCCTCCCCACAAAGACATGTGGAACATGGTCAGTCGCTGAGGAGAGGTTGGGAAACGCAGGTGAGGCCGGGGAGGAGAGTCAGGGTGGTGCTTTCTTTAACACGGCTGTGTTTCCATTTCCTCCTCTTGGCCTGAGTTTTTTTCTTTACTCTCATTTCCAAAATATTATGTTATGTACTTGTTCCCAGGGTTTTAAGTGAGAAACTGAACGCTTGAAGCAATCATATCCAAAAAAACAGCCAACTAGGAGTAGATAGGCTTCAGACTGTAGTACAGGAACTGACTCTCTAATTTTACAGCTGTGCAAATGCAAACACACGGTATGCATTTAAGTTATAAACAGGTCTTCAGGTTGCTTTAGACAACGGGCCTCTATAGGAGGTTTTTAAGCTTGTACTATTTATCTTTCATAGACAGTAAGTGAAAACCTTCACCTATATCAATTCCTGATGTTTAGAGGAGGTATTGATATTCTACATACATTCCTTGCTTAAAGATGTACTTGAAAAAAAAGATTTAAGGATTGAATGCATTTAAGCAAATTTGGTTATAAAGTAAATGTACTGGATTCCCTGATAGTGATCACAGCCATTGCCACAGAACTGTCTCTCTGCCCTGTACCCAGAAGTTTGGTGAAGACAGGGCATGCTGGGAACTAGAGTCCCCATCCAGCAACTCAGTTGTTCTCTGAAGCATTTTCCAAACTCTAGTTTCTCTTCCCTGTAGTTCTCTCTTCCTTCTTTCCTCTGATCTGGGAGAATTTTTCCTTGCTATGGGTAACAGGGTTACCCTCACAGGCAGGACTGCTAGGTCATGCCACAGCCTGTGCCCTGAACACCTCCAGGGGGTGCTCTCCATAAAGACTAAGACTTGACTGGTACTTGCTAGTGCAATGAGCCTACTGTCTGTCCCCAGAGCCTCATCCTTAAGTCCCAATGTTTTAGTGTCCAACAGTGCTTGCTGGGTTGTAATATTACCAGAAAGTACCACTGTGTAAGGTAGTAGTGCTCACATAGAGTGTCATGACAAATGGAAAAATGGATTGCATGTAATTTGTCACAAATATGGACATTCTAAAGATCAGATATATTTGACTTGTTAGATATTAGAACAGATTCAAGATTATGTTTTTAAAAATGTTACTCTCACTCCCACTTCAACAGCTTCTTGAAGGGTCATACAGCCCGGAGGCCAGGAGTGAGATCAACCCCAGATGCCACATAGAGTCCTCACTGTAGGCATATTCCTCACTGAACCTCCACAATGACCAACTGGGGCAAATGTTATCCCTCTTCTGACCGCGCAGCCTGTGCATTTACTCCGCACCGTGTGAACGCGCACAGGGCTGCTGCTGCACGCTTGCCATGCATGTCCTGGCGGGAAAAAAACAACTCGAAAGCATTTTGTCTAATATACGGTATGCTGAAAAATTACTTAAAAGCTCAGGTTATGTTCCCAATTTAATTCATTTCAGAGAATCCTTACGGCATCAATTCTAATAAACAGGCAATTATCAGAATTAAAAGCCCTGAGTTTTGAAATGTTTTTGCCATGGACCAGCTCATTTAGCTTCTATTTCTTCACTTGCCAGTGCAAGACTGTTGCTGGCCTCAGTGCTGGGGGTTAGAATGATGAAAGCTTTATAAGATCTACTTGTGAAAAAGCCTTTAGATATATATGTGAATGATTACAGTGTCAATGTTAATTTTCAAGAATCTGGTAATTTAGCTTCTTCATAAAATGTAGCAGAATAAGACCATATAATACTGATACCAGGAGATTTAAAATTATAGTTCAACTGTAAAAATGTTACTTGAACAGGAATAATAATATGTGCCATTTGGGACCATTTATGTGCCTGGTACTAGACAAAGCATTTTGCTATTACTTAACCTTGAAAATTCTATATGGCAGGAATTACGACCACCACTTTACGTGTGAGAAACCAGAGGTCAGAGGGGTTAACTTGTCTGTGGGGACATGGCTCCTAAGTACAATTGTCTGACTGATGCACAGCACTCTTTCCCCACAGACAATCTGGTTCTGAGACCTGGAAAAACAAAGTACCTCTATAACTTCTACCCATGTACCAGCTTTCACTAAAAATGACTTAAAAAACATACCTTTTGTAGTGGTGATGACTTTATTTTGAATGCTGTGATAGACATATGTTCACCAATAGCCAATACTCATCTACTTCTGGATATAGGGGGGTTATACTTCCCTACCTCCTTGAAGTTAGGTGACCATGTGACTAGTCTGGCTAATGAAATGTGAGCAAAAGAAATGTGTCACTTCCAGGATGAGCACTTAACTGCAGAGGTTCAACTCTCTAGACCTCTCTTCCTTTTCCATAGCAATCATGGAATTCTGTGTTTGCTGTGGTGCTACCTCAAGATCAAAGCAACCTGAGGTGCTGAGCAAGCACATGGAGGATTGCTTTCCCAAAGAGTTGCTTAAACCCACAGCAGTTTTACACAAATGAGGAATAAACCTTTCTTATTTTAAACCATAGATTTGGAGATTGTTTTTTATTGCAGCATAACCCAACCTATCCTAGCTGACAGAAGTGGTCAAGAGAAATAAAATAGACTTGAGGCATTGCTCTGATGCCCTATAATAAGTACATTAAATGTGGCTGAAACATAGTTGAATAAAAACTCAAGGGCTGAATAAGAGGGAGAAGGAACTCCATGCAGTTGAGTTCTAAAAGCTCTTATAACCACATGGAACAACTGAAGCACCACCCTTCCCACTTTCAGGGAGCTCAGCACATCAATTAGTCTCATTGTATGACACTGTGGGAAATGAGAACATTTCTAGATGTTTTCAATAAAATAGTATGCGAGCTCTAATCAGTATGGTAAAGGGTCATATTTTGGGAGGATCACTGTCCTGTGTCTATTTGATAAAATCCAATTAAGTAGGACTGGTGTGGTTTAGAGAACAGACACTGACCTCTTTCACCTTTGACTAGGCCCGTCAATAGCCACATGGATCCTGTGACGAAATATGTTTGAACATACCGTATTATTCGTTTAAATACTTGATTGCATTAGGCTCATGTGAATTTTTAAATCTCAGCTTCCCATTTTTTAAGTTACTAGTACTATCATTTAAGTAAAGGTCAGACAAGCATCTTTACTTTCTCCTACACCCTCACTGTATCACATGCATAAAGTCCAGAATCTGCACTGAAGTCAATTGACCTAGGTATAAGAAGCAAATGTGTAACTTTCTGAGGAATACAATCCCTGAAGTATACATTAAAATGGCCAATTTTTATGACAGTGATTAACAATAAGGCACAATTCAAAAGCAGAAGTTTTCTGTTACTGTGAAGTAAACTGTGCAACAGGGGATCCTAGGGCCTCAGAGCCAAGGGCCCACTCGGCTGCTAAAACCCAGCAGAGGAAGAACAATTTATAACATGCTTCTTGATTTAAGTACCAACAGGTCAGGTCCTCAGAGGCAGTTCTAAAATGATCTTCATTCAGTCAGGCTTTATTTTTATAATAGAAACTGTAAACTTTAGGGATATTTCCTTTCCATGCCAAATAAATGATGGTAACTATAGAACCTCTATTAAGCCTTTTTTTCTAAGTTTTCTACTTTACTGCATTAAACATTTTATAACAGCTACAATCTGATCACTATTTTCATATCTTAACCTAATGATCCTGTTTCGTGTATGCATGCACACATGCATGATCTACATGCAGCTACAGTCCGCATTTCATACTGTTTTTTTAGTTGGCCAACTTGTCCCCAACCCCTGGCTGATGGACTGATACTGGTCTGTGGCCTCTTAGGGACTGGGCCACAGAGCTCCGCTGCCCCCCTACCTTGTTATCTGCCCCCCCCCACCGTGGAAAAACTGACCTCTATGAAACTTGGAGGTGGGGCATGCACACAGTAGGTGAATAAAGCTTCATAGCTTTATCTGTATTTACAGCCACTCCCCATTGCTCACATCACCCTCTGAGCTCTGCCTCTCCTTCTGTTGAAAAATTGTCTTCCATGAAACCGGTCCCTGGTACTAAAAAGGTTTGGGGACTGCTGGTCTAGCTGACAGGCTGTCCCAAGGGAATGAAGGCAACCCTGAGATGGATCCATGACAAAAAGCACTTCTGTGTGTACATACTTTTATTTTTACACTGTAGAGGTTACAACTTTTTTTAGAGCATATAAATGAACTTAGGTATAAGCCAGCCAGAGTGAAAGAATTAGCATGTATCTAATGAAAAGAACCAAAATTTCTAGAACATAAGAAACACCTACATCCTGCTTTTTTTGGGGGTGGGGGACCAAAAGGCAACTACATAAAAGGCAACTACTGGCACATCAGAGGCACCATAAACACCTTCTTTCATACAGTTACTTGGGAACTGTAAAAAGGTAAGTATCATACAGCATCTGAATGCTAAATAAACAGTGAAGTTATTCTACCCACTCTCCCATTTCCATCTTTTAGGAATTCAAGTTTATTCAAAAGTTTGACATATATAATCCTATATCTATATCTACTATCTCTTCTTTAATAATTTCAGAATGGTAGTTTGACACATACAATCCTATATCTACTATCTCTTCTTCAATCATTTTAGAATGACAGTTTAAAGTTTGAGCTCCTTCTGAATTTCCCAAAGTGTTTTTGCGCTCTTCGTTAGACGGGCTTCCTCTTCATGGGTCAGTTTTATTTTTATAATGTGTGTAATACCATTCTCTCCCAGGATACAAGGAACACTAAGGAATACTTCTTCATTTACTCCATAGAGGCCCTTAATTATGGTGGAAACTGGATGTGTTCTCCTCAGATTCTTCAAAATACTTTCTGTTAAATCAGCTACAGATAGGCCAATGGCCCAATTAGTATAACCTTTCATTTTAATAATCTCATAGGCACTGGCAATCACATCTTTGTGGACATTTCCCCATTGCTCAGGGTCTTTATCAGTTCCTATGGCTGCATTCAGATTCTTCAAAGGGACACCAGCAATATTCACTCCACTCCACACAGGAACACTTGAGTCTCCATGCTCTCCAAGGACCCATCCATGACAGCTTTCAGAGTGGATACCAAGCTTTTGCCCAATCAAAAAACGAAAACGAGCAGTATCCAGATTACAGCCACTTCCAATAACACGGTTTTTGGGAAAAGTACTCAACTTCCAGGCTACGTAAGTTAAGATATCCACTGGATTTGAAACAATAATCAGCTTGCAGTGGGGGCTGTACTGGATAATACTGGAAATCATTGATTTGAAGATGGCCACGTTTCTCTGGACTAAATTGAGGCGTGTTTCTCCCTTTTCTTGGCGTGCACCTGCTGTGATAATCACTAGGTTGGAGCATGCCGTGACACTGTAATCTTTGCTGCAAGCAATAGTTGGCATTTTCACGAAAGGGCTGCCATGTTGAAGATCCATCGTCTCACCCTTCATTCTGCCTTCATCAAGATCTACAAGGGCAAGTTCATCACTCAAGCCTTTTAGTAGGATGCTGATAGCACAGGCCATGCCAACCGACCCAGTGCCTATAATGGAGACCTTGTTGTTGCGAACCGGGCCCTCCGCCGCGAAGCTCTTCAGCAGTTCCCCCTTCACGGTCGCTATGTTGGCCGCGGGGGTGCAGAGCCAGGTGCCCCTCAGAGGGACGCGCGCGGCGCCATGGGGACTCACAGCCATCCCTGGGCATGGGAAATTTGCTCCCGCAGAGCTCACTCTCCGGCTGGCCCGCAGAACTGCCACAGCCCAGCTCATGGCCACTCACTCAAGAGGCGGAGGAAGAGAAAGGGAAGACGCTTCAGGCAACAACGGACGGAGGCCAAAATGGCTGGTGACCGTTGGCCGCTTCTGTTGCCGTCCACTGCGGCTGCGCAGGCCCCGCCCCCAGACCGCTACTGCGCATGCTCTCAGCAGGTGCTCAGTCTGAGGGGGAAAGGCTTTTTTTTTTTTTTTTTTTACTAGGAAGTGAATCCTGGAGTTAGTTTTACAAACATGGATTCTCAACATTTGACATGTTTAACAGGCCAACTCCCAGAGCCCTAGAATTCATTTTCTATTTTCAGTATGTGTGCCAAATGAAAATGCTTCTGTTCACTAGAGAGGAAAACAAGGGTAAGACTTCTGAGCCATAGCCTGCCGGGAAGAACAGGTGCGTGCGCTGTCTCCGCTCAGCCGCGGCGCCGCTTCCCAGGGACGGGAGACGTGGGACTCCACTGCCTTCACGCCAGGCCTGACCGGGACCCACGGTCAGCGGGAGCTTGACAGCAGGGGAAGGGGCCAACTGTGAGTTACTCCAATACTAAAATCTCACTGCAGCAGGATGCCAAGCCTTTCTCATGCCACAGGAAACCCTGTGATTGTGAGTCCTGATTAAAACCGACTTCCCAAGTAGAAAGATGGTGACGTAACCCTCTATTAAAAAGAAGCTATCTCTTAAATGTTTTTAAAATGGCAACTTTTAACCAGTGTACAAATCAGATTATTGACTAAAATAAGGAAATAAAATATTACCTGGTACAACATGGCATCAGTATGCCTCACCTCCACTGCAGTTCTCTGGGAACTCTTATGAACTAAATTCTTTTCGAATTTCTGAGGCAGTGTCAACTTTACATCTGATGAAGTGTATACCCTAATAAACCCAATAAACTACAAAAGCCCCCAAAACAGCACTTTCTTCCCATTTATAAACAGAATTGTAACTGTGTAATGATTCGTCAAAAGCTCTCCCTTGCGTTCTAAGAGAGCAATATGCTCTCCCCAGCCAGGCTCCCTGGTACACATAGTCCCCTCACAGTCAGCAAAAAAACCTTCAGTTTTAGAATAATGAATCCTGACAAAATGAATAATTTATATTCAGGACTTGAAAAGCTATTCTTATTCTTTTACCATGGAAATGTGGTCCAAGAAGAGAGGAACAGGAAGCAGAGGAGTTGGTGAGAGGTGGGGAAGTATGGCAATTAGTGGAGTTCCTGCAGGCCGTGTTGGCTCACTTTCCATACTGGAGGGGTTAGACACCCTGTTTAGATGGTACAGAGCCACGAGCTCCATGACACATGAAATTGTAAGAGCACCAGGTACATGAATGCTCTATGCACTGGTGGCCAGATTTATGGGAACCATTTGTCAAATTAAAAACCGGAATTTTAGAAGTGATCATCTTTATTTAATGTTGCCAGCATTTTAGAGGGAACCTTTTAAAGGACCAACTTTTGACTGCTGTTGTTTCTTTTATCCCAGATATCACTTCAAATGTTTTAACGTTATATCTGTTCCTACCTTCTTCCTGTGACCAGTCAAGTCATTTTTCAAGATAAGTGTTCTTGAACATGAAATTCAAGGACATAAAGACTCTTAGCTACATGGCTTCTGTCTACAATTTTCGTCCTAGAGTTTGAGCCTCTTCAGAAATACAATCTCTATGATAGCTGCCTCTTCAGTTGTTTCCCCTTAGCCACAACTAAATCAATTTTGAGGGAGAGAAAAACTCTCCAAAACAAAAATACACTAAACAAAGCAGCTTTTCTTATTTACAAGAAGTCCCAAGATAGAAAGGAAAGCATTAAGAAAGACGAAGAGACGTACATGACCTCCAGAGCGGATTTAGGTCTACTCAAAGAGGTGGAAAGCCAAATATAGCTAGACAGCTCCCTAATGACTTTCTATCTTAGGTGACTCATTATTCCTTTTGAATTGAAAACCTAACTCAAATTATCTTCTCAAAGTGCAGTACAGTGTTATAGCTGATAGCAGCATTATACCTTAATACTTTTGGTTACACCACTTAGAACAGACAAAGCAGAAATGAAGACAACCAGCAGGTCTCTGGACCAAGAATGGCTGCAACCAAGTCACACTATACCTTTCACCTGGACTCTCACACCCAGCTCCATCCTCCTCCTTTTTCTATCTAGGAGTCCAGTTCTAATATTCCATCCTTTGACAAATGCTCATCAATCTCCCAAGCAGAATTGACTATTTTTATTTATTTATTGAAACAGAGTCTGGCTCTGTCACCTTGGAATAGAGTGCTGTGGTGTCAGCACAGCTCACAGCAACCTCAAACTCCTGTGCTCAAGCAATCCTCCTGCCTCAGCCTCCCAAGTAGCTGTGATTACAAGCATGTGCCACCATGCCCAGCTAATTTTTCTATTTTTAGTAGAGATGGGGGTCTTGCTCTTCTTCAGGCTGGTCTCAAACTCCTGACCTCAAGTGATCCTCCTGCCTCAGCCTCCCAGAGTGCTAGGATTACAGGTGTGAGCTCCCGGCCCAGAAGTGACTTTTTAAACTCTTATGTCACCATTGTATTTGGTACCTCTCTCCAGTATAGGATTTATTACACACAATTAAATGTAAAATACATATGAATGTGTCACTTGAAGAAGGATCACCTCTTATTTACCAACATATCCCTGTTGTCTGGAACAAAGCTGGGCACATGAGTAAGGATTCACTACATGTTTGTTGTAGCAAAGAATGAGTCGATAACTATAAACTGAATAGGCTAGAGAGAGGGCTAAAAGGTGAGAGAGAGAGATGGAAAGGCTAAGCTAGAGAACCCACCTGGTGCCAGAGTTCTGAAAACAGGGGTCAGTAAAATGGGTAGGTGTTGCCCATTTGGGGTATCATGGCAAGGTTGATGCATAGATTTCAAATAAAGCTTGGATAAGGTAAAATATTTCTTAACTATTTCAAGGCCAATACTTATCTTTACCAAGTTAAAACATGCCAAAAAACCAAAATAACAAAAGACACCACACTAAAAAAACCTGTAGTGCCAAAAACCCAGCAAAACAAATATGCAATGGCAGAGAGATTATTTTTATCCTCTAAGGTTATTTAAAAGTTTTGTTCTTTGGAAAGCTTTTTTAAAAGCAGCACACAAAACCTTTGCTTTGGGGAAAAAAAGAAGAAATGAAAGTAGTGTTAATTAATATTATAAGCTGATCTGAAATAGGCTATAAATTCACAAGCATGCAAGGAAAACATTATTTAAACACAATTATTTTAAAAGTCATCTTTGTGATTTGAAAATCATTAAATGCAAATTGTAGTTTTAAAACAAAATAGTGAGCAATAATTATATTGCTCATAGATACTAAAATCCATATAACTTTGTAATCCTCACATGGGGGTCTTTACAGATACCACCAGTACATGAAAGTGTTTTCCTTTGTCAGCAACACTGGGAAAGCTGGAGGAGAACAAAAACGGGGCCACAAAGTCTGCCTTCCAGGTAGAATAAAGGTAGAAAGTTAATTCAAAGAGCAACACTGGGATCAACTTCCTATTTACATTACTTAAATATTAGAAAATGAATTTATTTTCAAAATCTTCTAATAAATTATCCAAATCACATTTTTCTTTAAAAGTATCATCTTATACATAATTTTTGATACAATGTAAAAGAGCCACTTGTATTAATCACTAAAAAGGAAAAAAAAAAAGGAAATTCCTAATGTGGCACAAAACATGAAAAACAAATAAATTAAAATTCATTAGTATGTATTTAAGTACCCTAAATCCTATCTATCTAAAAATTGAGAAGGTTTAACTTGATAGCTAATTGCATAGGTGCTGTAAGGAGCTGGACTGAGGGCAGAAAGGGGAGATAGTGGAGTCAGTGAACATAGGTAACTCTTTTGGGAAATTTTTTCTACGAAGGGAGCAGAAAAATGGGCTGGTAGCTGGAGAAGCATAAAGAATATCAAGAGAGAATTTTGAGAGGTGGGAGGAACTAGAGCATATCTGTATACTGGAGCAGAGAGGGAAGAAGTGACAATTAGCAAAGGCTGAGGATAATGACAGGATCAAGGTCCCTGGGTAGGTGACAAGGGATGGGATATAATACCCAAAGGGTGGGGTGAAGGGGAAGCCTTTGGCAGCAGCATGGACCTTTTGTCCTTGTTAACAGGAAGAAGGGCAGAGTGCGTGGTACAGATGCAGGTGAAGTCCAGGGAAGAGGAAGGGCAGAGCACTCTGGTTGTGGAGTGGAGAAGGGATTGCAGAGAGGCAAGGCGGAAGGCAGGAAGAACAGAGAAAGCTGTTAGGATCTTCTCAGAGCAAGAAGGGGCCCCCAACCATCATGGCTGTGGGGGTGGGGAGAAGCAGGACTTGGTGCCTGAGTAGATACAGGGGTGAGAAAGAGTGAGGTCCTGAACGGCAATCTGGTTTTTCTCTCTGGGCAGCTTTGTGGGTGATGCTGCCATTCACGGGAGAGTGACCCAGGAGTAGGCTGCGGGTCGTGAGTAAATGACAGCTCCGTGGGGAACACATAGGATACCTGCAGGACAGCCAAGCGTCAGCGTCCAGACAAGTGGGCCCATGAGCCTGGAGCTCAGGGTGTGGATGAAGTCACCAGAGTGGCTGGACCCTGTGAAGGACAGATGAGGGCAAGGAAGAAACCTGAAGCATGATTGTGTGTAGAATAAAGCAGCAGCATTTCAGAAGCAAATGCAACAGAAATTATGAGAGCCTAATTAGGGTTGAGAAAAATTATTAAAAGAATAAAAGCCCAGAATCTGTTAGCACCAGAAGCAAACAATAACTGATAGATCTGAGTCATCAAGAAAAAGTTAAAATTATGCTCAGCACAATTTACATAGTGGAAAGATGTCTAGCACACACAAAAAAAGATTTCTTCTTAAAATTGTTAGAAATATTTCAGTTAGGAAAATTCAGTTTGAGAGAACATGACATTTTCTGATTTCTGATAAATGAATATTTATATTCTGTACATAAATATACCAACTATATATTAATATAATATTGTTCCACAGAGTTTTAGATATTTTCGACTGACCAATCATAGGTCACTCTTAAAATGAAGCTTAAGGGGAAAGCATACACTGTCAGGTCTTCAGTCTACAAGGCTTTATTTAGAGAAATCTCACGTAAGCTCAATTTTCTAAGCTTAGTGTAAGAAATAAGGACAAAGAAAAAGAAAACCCAAATGAAATCAAGATGCCTTTCCTCCTGTGGACTAAGGCTGGGAACATTCTCAAGGTGACTAAGCCTGATTTGTGTCAGGCCTCTAAACAAGAAGGCTTTTATGGCAGAGCTTATCTTTCCCATTAAGTGTTGCACATTCCCGCTTTATAAAATGCTTGGGGCCCTATTTTACTTATAAAGGAGACCGGTGGGTTTCTAAGGAGGCATTTTGGAACTATTCCTAAACAACTGATTCCCCTTCTGGCTTAAAAAATAAAGTACATTGGTCATTATCTCCTATTTTAAACTGAGCCAGTCCCTGTGAATCAGTGTCTGTCATCAAATTGCTCCTCCACATCTATATCAAGTGCTCCAGCACTGTGATGTTACGCCCATTAGAGCTGCAGTGGAATGGGAAATAGGGTTTTAGAGATGCTCCCGTCACCTTAGACTTGAACTTACTAACTGATGCATAGTCCTACTTCTAGTTCATTTTCAAATGATTCCAGGAAAATATTCCTCAATCCTTCAGCTGTTTGAAGGCTCAAGAGCTTGACAGATGGAACTACCTCTGCAAGATCACGAAGACTCTGTTCTAGGAGTTCTAGTAAGCACTATGAAGAAGAGGAAGTGAGGCGAGTAGGCTGATGTATGGTAATCAGAATAAGAAACTGAAGCTTGCTTCCTGGGGGCAGAAGCTGGTAGAGATCTGTGGAAGTACTGAAATTAGATTAGGCAAGGACCCAGAAGGGAAATGGCCACTTTTCAGACTTCCCTTGAAGACTACTCAGAAGTGGCTGCCATTAGACAATTTGCCAGGAGATTCAGATTTGTTTTTAATCTTTGACCTAAACCACTGAAAAATATATAGCACTTAAAGTCTATTTCCCTTCTTAGATATCGTCAAAGTTTAAAATTTCTAAGCTTTTCTGTAGTTTTATTTTCATATAGAGTTCTAGAAGTCACTCTACAGTACTGCCTCATTTGAGATGAATAAGTAAAAGTAGTGTAGGAATAAATATACTAATAAGAGATACACCAGAATATTAGTAAAAACTGAAATTAACAAAGAGTCAAAAGAAAAAAAATTGATTGTAATTATTAGCAAAAGCCCTCAGGTCATAAGGTTATTAAGAAGGGAGCCTTAATATTAACATTAAAATTATACTTAAGGGCAGCTACAAAAAAGAACTGGAGTAAATAAATTTTCTTAAGACTCCATCCAATAGTATCCTAGAGGAAAGATATAATATTAGTTCCATTAAAGGCTCTACCTTATAATACAGAAGTCAAATTTCCATTTTTAGAGAAATATTTAAAACATATCGGTTTTATTTACATGTTTTACTTGTTATTTTTTAGAGAAAAGGAGACCTGAACTCTTGAGAAAGCAGCAACCTCTATCAGCAAATGAGAAGGCAAGATAAGGGCCTGGAAAGGTTGTAAGGCTCCAATCACAATTTATTTCCATAAAGGCCTTTCTAGCAGCAGGGACTCAGGAGAGATGTGGTAAAAAAAGATTATTTTCCATCTATCAGATTGGCAAAAATTTCAGAGTAATAGAAGCCACTGATGGCAAACGTGCTAGGAACTTACATGCATTGTTGATATCTTCTAAACTGTGTAAACTTTTCTGGAGGGCTGTTTACCAACAGGTATCCAAAACATTTTTAAAACACACATTTATTCAACAGATTTGTCTTTAGGAGAAATATCTCAAACAAGAAAAGCGCAATAAGATATATGCCTCCAGGTTCACTATGGGGTTTAATAGTGAAAAATGACAATCTAAATGCCATTGGCAGGAGACTGATTAAGTAGATTATAACATACAATAGAGAACCATGTATTCATTAAAAGTGATGGAGATTTATATACTCTGCTTTGCAGAGATGTTTCTGTGACTTTTAGTGAAAAAAGATGTCAGAGTAGCACCTATAGTAAAACAGCATTTCTATATAAGTATATGAATATGCCTACAGAAGATGGTCTAGAAGGATATTTCTACTGCAATTATGATTAGAGCTTAGTGGGATTTTTGCTTCCTTTTTTGTACTTTTCTACACTGATTTTTTTTTTAAACAAGTACATGTTTTTA